GGTTAAGTGAGCGCTAAATTCTGCAATGTCCGACCAGCCTAGGATATAAATGTCACAAACTCATGTTGATCGCCTGGAATCACTTCGAGATGTCCATCTCGATTCCACATAAACAACTTTTGATGAGTCGTAGAAGGTACGGCTCCAACTCCATGAATTCACTCCCTGCCAAGTAGTGCATTGAAATTGGCATGTGATTGGACAACAACAAACACAGTGGGCCTTGAATAAGTACCCACTTTCACATCTAAGGCAATCATGCCTTCTGAACTCAATGTTTTCCCACTGAAATCAGAAATCATGATATTATGTCTGACTAAGTCTTTTAATTCGATACCAAACCTTTTCAGCATAGTGATTGACAATATGTTAACCGTTGCACCACCATCGACAAGGACTCTATTCACCTTTTGTCCTTGAATCTCGATATTCAGTAATAAAAGCTTCAAATGAAACCTCATCTCCTCAGATGGAGGATCAATAAAAGCAGCATCTCTATGGGGTACTTCGCATGATGCTTATGTTACCCATGTCACCTTTGGTCTCATGTCTTCGGATTAGAAATCATCCTCTCGATCGACATTACTTTGTTCTTGGTACTCTTTATACTCACTAACATATTCTGCGGGTTGTATCGATATTACTCCGATTTGATGTTCATCCCAACTACCCTCATTTTTGTCATCGCCAAAGTCTCTTGCATATTGGCTCCCCATTGGTACTTTATTCTCTTCAAAGTTCCTGTAATTATTGAACCTTCCCCAGTAAGGATCCTCCCTCCTCTTCTCCAGGGCCTTCCTCAAAATCTCCTTTGGAATGTTGGAAATCCAATATTCGATCCTTCATCATATGGAAGTCTTTCGAAGACATCATTATTTTGAAGTCTGCCCCTTCCTTCTCGAGAAGGATACATTTCTTTCCTAACTCATTGTTTCTGATTTCTACTAGCACCAGAACGAACAGATTTCTGTTGACTTTCCCCTATCGTTGCTTGGACTGTTTGATCTACTTTATCATTGTCCCTTTTGTTTTGATTCTCAATTTTCTTTATCTGTCCTGCTCTAAAAGCTTTAGCAGCTGACTTGTCGAACACCGCACTACATCGTGGACATAACGTCACATCTTCATCCTTTTCTTTCTTTCTGTTTAAAAACTCGACGAGAGAATCTTCTGATCGAGGATAGATCTCTTTCTCGAATTCTTTCTCGAACTCGCTTAAATCAAATTATATGTCTTCTTCTGACATGTTCATTCTGACATGTCTGGGATCAATGTCTTCAGTAACATCAACCATGCCTACAAAGGTCGGATTTGTCAATCGGACATCTTCAGCCATGCCCGTTTGGAATTCGATATACCCTACTTGAACCTCAAATGGACTCGTATCCACTTTCATTGACATCTCCTCAAACTTCAATCTCCCTTGGTCAATCGCATCTTGGATTGTGTTCCTGAAATGTATACAATTATTAGTCCAATGTCCATAAATATTATGAAATTTGCAATATTTTCGACCATTTCTTTGTTCTGCCGAAGGCAGTTTATGATCATCACTCAACTTAATCGATTTATCTTTCAATAAAATATCGAAGATTTTATCCGCCTTTATTACATCAAAAGTATATGTTCAATTTGCCATTTTGTCTTTTACTTCATTTTTCTCTAGCAATTTACAAATGTATGGAGCTCCTACTTTAAGCTCTGCTATATTTACTTTCTCATCGACAGTTTCTTTAATATCTATTTCTGCCTTGGGATCTTCCTCATATACATCATTTATATATGCTACTTTTTCTTTCTTCATAGGTTTCTCGAATTTCTTATACATTTGTTTTTCATATTCAATTTGTTCCACTCTCCTCACTTTATCGGCTAGCTGAGCCATGTCATTCAACGGTAAATTAACTAACTTTTTCCTAATCTAGAATTCTAAGCCTGCAGAGGTCATTCTGACTAATTCATATTCAGGAATTTGAGTAAAGCATCTTGAATTCATTTGTCTAAATCTATTCAAATAATCATCTATGCTTTCATGATTGTATCTCTTTATGTTCATTAAGTCGATGAGACTTACTTGAGTCTCCCCCCTAAAGAATTGCTCATGAAAATTTCTTTCCAATTGCAATCAATTATATATCGAATTGGGTGGCAATGAAGTAAACCAAGTGAAAGCATTCTTAGTTAATGAACTAGGGAAATATTTCATTTTTAATTATTCACTCATCGCTAGGTCCCCACATTCGATCTGATATCGCACCACATGTTCGATAGTGGACTCACCAATTTCTCCAGCAAATTTGGTGAATTTAGGTATTTTGTATCCTCAAGGTAACTCTGTCTCGAGAATCGTATTTGGAAAAGGAGAAACAAAATATGGTTGATTGGGTGGTCTTAATTTCACTGCTTGGGGATTCATCCTTTGTCCTAGCATGTGATTATACTGCATGTTATTATACACATTTTGAAATCCTTCATTCAAATTTCCGTAAATATCATTCCTCACCTGTTGATATTCATTCCCCATGTGTTGATGTTGATCATTGTTTTGATTTCTCCTTAATAAATAAGGGGGATTGATATTAACATTCTGGTTAAGGTTCTGATTGGCATGATTTTCCACTATTGTTTGTCGAGGTATAGCCAATGCATCCCCGATACGTGCCATTTGGTCTGCTAATATCTCAAAGCTAGTAGTAGTGTTTTGAACTAATGGGTTTAGGACTGTAGTCAACTGTTGTGATAACATATTAACCATTTCAAAATTGTTTTCATCCATTTGTTGTCTAAGTACTCCTAATGAGTTACTGGAGATTCCAGTACTAGCGTTTTCGATAGTCTCAAAATTGGATCGATGATAATCTCTATCGAATGTATATCTCCCATGATCCAGATTTGCTCTGTGATCTAGATTTGGAGGTGTCTGTTGTGTACCTAAATTCTGCACACTCCCTAAATTCTGGGGGGTTACTAAATTTTGAGATGCCCCTAAATTTGGAGATACTCCAAAGTTTTGTGGCATACCTAAAGTTTGAAATGTACCTAAGTTTTGAGGCATTCCTAAGTTAAATCTCGAACTTCGTTGTATTGAAGAGGTACCAGCCCCATTCATATTATTAAGCGAAAAATCAGGCGGTCTTACGCTCATATACGGCCCTGCATATGTTGTTATAGGGTTTCCCATAATTTGCATATTGTTCGATATCACAGTACTAGACCCTACTTGAGTGTTTGCTAATGTACTTCAACTTTGTTCATTACTCACAGGTATTGACATACTCGCAGTTGTCGATATTACAGGCATATTCCCATTATGACCTTGCCCCCCAGTGTTTGGTGGATGTGAACCATTTAGAACCTCACTGTTACTCTGATTATTTGGTGGATGACTCATTCTTATTACTCGCCCGCTCCTTAATCTCATACACTTTCGAACTAACCAATTTTGTGTTTTTCGACACAAGACCCTATACCTGGCGCGCCAATTTGTTTCTGGTGAAAAATTTGATTGATTTCGATTTATGGGGAGTTGAGTCCTAATCAAATATCGACCATGTAGATTCTTTTTACTTAGGCTAACAACTAGTTTTCAATCGAAAAGTGCATGAGAATCGAGAATCTTATAATGTAAAACGGCATGACCTAGAGTACAAAAAGTACTATTTTTGATGTTTTTTATTAAGAAATGCGAAGTAAAGAAAGCGTTGAATCGAAAAGCAGTGTGGAATATCAAATTGCAGGGAAATGTAAAAAATGGAAACCTCAAATTTGCATTAAGTGTAAATGGCGAGAAATCGAAATTGAAGGAATGTAAATAACAAGAATCGAAATTGCAGAAATGTGAATAACAGGAAATCAAAATTGCAGAAATGTAAATAACAGGAAATCGAAATTGCAGAAGTGTAAATAGTGAAGAACTTAAACGCAGAATCTCAACTTACATAAAAGTAAAATAACAAGGAATTGAAAGTGCAAAAACTTAAAGTTGCTAAACGTAAACTTGCATCAAAGTAAATTGCATGAACATAAATTACCAGGGAAAGTAAAGAAAGCGATACAGACAATCAATGAAAATGGAAACCCATATCGCCAGAAACTTCATGATTCATCGTTCTCCGGTAGACTTTTTCACTTGTGTTTCTGTTGTCTCTGCCAATTTCCCCCTTTCCTTCATTCTTTGCTCTATTTATAGAGCATCTTTCAAGTAACCTCTTAAGAGTAGTTAACAAAACTGCCACCACGATCCATCATGCACGTCCCTTAGTTCCACGGTTTAAAAAACTGTATTTCACGTTCCCATGCATGAGATAACCGCTCCCTTGACCTTCGATCTCTGCCACGGTTTAGAAACCGCTTCTCATGTTCTATGTGCGCGTTAACTGTTCCTCTCTTTCTAACTTAGTCAGAATTTCGATGGTCGTGCATGTTAACTTTTCCCTCGATTTCGATTTCAAAATCTCGAGAACTTTGCATTGCTTTTTTGATTCCCCTTAACCTTAACATTACATTATTATACTTCCTCGATTTTTTTCAACAATAGACATTAAATATTTCTCCTTCGATTCTTGATTCTAATTCTCGATTTATGTGTCCATACTGTTACATGATTATGGAATGTTTTCCAACCATCTTTTCACTTTATCAGTTTTTTAACCAATCATATGATCCTCGATTTTTTCTTTCCTTCGTTTTTCGATCCCTTTATCGATTTCATACTAACAATAATATAAAATTAGATAAACTTTTTAGATAATAAAAAAAAGTACTTCACAAATTATATAATTATTGAGATATTATGATCTCTTCGATTATACAAAAGTTGGATTTTTTATTATTTATTGAGATATTATGATTTGGTCGATTATATAAAAAATTGATTATTTTTAATTATTATTATTATTATTATTATTATTATTATTATTATTATTATTATTATTATTATTATTCACATTAGGAGTAACTTAGACCTAATATAACCTTTACGTATAATTTTCTGATTCATATTAAAAATGCCCAATACAAGACTGAAGGAACTCAGTAGAGTTCAACCCATCCTCGGACCTCACTAATCCAATAAGTATTAAAGAATCGGTATTAAGATATAGAGAAAAAAAAAAACACCTCAATTATAAAGACAAATTATTTAAAATTAAAGAGTTGAAAACTAAAAATTATTTATTAAAAATAATGTCTTGATGAATCAGGAAATCAATGTAATTTATCTCTCTCTCTCTCTCTATATATATATATATATATATTTACATTTAAACTCATAAAAGTAATTTTTAAACATATAAGTTACCTAGTACGTAAACTTAAACCGGAAAATAGGCTTGAAAATTAAGAGTTATATTTTATAAACATAACGAGAAACTAAAGGCATGGTGTATAATCTCGAACCTTGCTCAATACTTTAGAAGATGAAAGTATCACTTTCTTGGGATATTTACAATTTAATAATTTATATAAACACATGACGCACTGGACTAAAATTTGTAATTTGAAGAATAAATTGAAGTTAAAACAGGAAAAGAAAAAGGAAGGAAGGTTGTGAGTTCCTGAACATTGAAGTGGAGTGGAAGAGAGAAACAGTAGTACTGTACTTACATTGCAGATTGTTAATTTTTGTTGAGGATGGGGTTGCACTGTCATACACCTGGCAACTGTCAAGTTCAGTGTCACACATAGAACCCAGAGAAGCTACATGGTTGGCCCTGAACTGTGAGCCACGTGGATGATTCCAAGGTACATACATTGTAATGGAAAAATGTAGAAGAGGATCTGAGAACTTGGACAAAACACAAAGCCCAGTGTCCACAGTGGCAGAACACATTAATATATGCCACTCTGCAATGTCAATCAACCCAATCCTCTTCATCGCCAGTATATTTCAAAGGAGGAGCAATATAGTATTCATACACTATTCTCAGTCAAACAATTAACTATACCACAGTCCAAAATGTGATGCGAGCCAAGTTATCTAGTAATAAATCTCTTCTCTTTATATATAACATAATCAGAAATTGATAAAAAAGTATGGGGATTTGGTAATGACAATCTTCAGCATGTAGTAATGATTAACAGTATGATATTATGGATGGTAGCAGAAACCGACAAATCAGAAATGGCGGTTGTGGAGATTCTGAGTAGTTGGTTTAACTATAATTTTAGGCAGTGAGATGATCCAAAACCTAAGTTTGAATATAGAAATGAGGAAGATAAAATAATGTTCAAGTAGCCGTAATAATATTGGATTCATGATATGGAACAGTTCAAGATTAGCTAAACAGTTGAGATTCTAAGGAGCCGACCTTTTGGGGATTTGAGGAATCACAGCACGCATCCACAAAGCAAAAATAGTCGGCGCTCCTCCTTCACTTCATTATTATTATTATTATTATTATTATTATTATTATTATTATTATTATTATTATTATTAACATTTCTTTCCAGTGCGATTGGATTTTAATTCTGATATCATGCATTAGATATCAGAATTCTCATTAATCCTTTTATGAATTCTGTTAGAATGAAAAATTATAATTAATCATACATGAAAAACTACTTTTATTTGTGTGTGTACTATTGACTCTCTTTTTTTAAGATTATTTTATTTATTTATGTGGAAGTGACGAGAAAAGAAAGAAAGAGCGAATAAGAAGACAAACGAGATCGAGTATTACAGGGCATATATTTGCAGTGTGTCCTTGAGGGCAGACCAGGCACCACAGGGCCTGCGATACTCCTGGGATTTTAAGAAAAATCTTGAAGATCCATAGTAATCTCCAAATTTGCGTCACATCTTTTATTTCTTGGATTTCGGATACTTGTTTTGCTTTTCACATAACATATCTAACTCGACTTCAAGTGCCACCATTCTCTAATCCGATATAATCATCTTCTTTCAACCTTCCCCAAAATATTTTATCCTCCCCAAGACACTCCCACGTGTCTCCCCCTTTCTCCAAGTGTCAAAACCTCTTCCGTCCCCTCTATCGTCATTATTTTATCTCATCACAACCCCAATTCCGAACCTCCTTATTCCAAACCACATCTCCAACTCCTTAGCTAAACTTGGTCTTCTTAATTTAGTACAAAGTTGGGGAAATATGTTACGACAGTTTTTAAAAAATTATAAATTTAAAACACTAAATATTTAATGTTATCATTAAATGACTTTTTAACGTTGCAGTGGTAATTAATTAAGCAATATAAAAAACAGTAAAATATTTAAGATTTACTAACAACGTAATGATATTCTAATATTTTAACGTCAATATTAGAAAATATCAAGTTTTATTAATTAATAAAATTAATGTTATTAAATAAATTAACCAACACTCTTAATTATTTTCAATGAATCAGTTAAAATAACTGATACATCACATTTTATATATATATATATATAAAATTTAGTCTAATGGACTTATTCGAGCAAAAATAGGTTAAATTATTTTAAAAATAAATATTATAATAAATATTTAATAATTAAGATTAATTATTATATATTAATTCTAAATTTAAGATTAAATAAATATAATTTCTTTTAATTTATATATTAAATTATTATATCTAAAATAAAAAATAATTTTATAAAAATAAAATTTTAATTTTTAAATATTTTTGTATTAATTGATTTTATATTTAAAAATATTAATAATTAAAAAAAATAATTAAATCAAATGAAAGATAAGACCATATTGAACTAATTTTTTTGGCTCGGTAAGACGGGAACAAGTATATACATATAAGTTTAATCTTATGTCAGGAATCCTTCCTAGTCAAAATGGACGGTTAAAAGTGAAGGAGTTTAGTAACACTAACTAAGATATGAAATGAAAGAAAAAAAAAAGAACTTAATCTTATTGTTAGTTTCAAATAGTACCTTCCAATAATTAATGGTTTCCGTCCACAACACCGTCCAAAAACTATTCTTACATTTCAGTGGTCATTTTTTATAAACTAGTTTGTTTGTTTGTGTTTCAGAGATTTGAATTTTAACTAAAAAGAACGGGAAAAGGTAGGTTGAAGGTAGAAAAGGTTAAAATAAACTTGGGTAGGCGAGGAAGAAGAAGTAATTAACAACAACCAGAGACGGGATTATTAATAAATAAATAAATAAATGAAAAAAGGGAAACAGGAGTGAGGGGTCCAGCTCCAGCAAAATAAAATGCATGAATCAAGACACCTCCACTGCCTCTATATAAACGGGACACTCCCAACCTCTTCTCTCACTCCTCATTTCCCCAACTACGCACACCACTGAGGGAAAGAGAGAAAAGACAAAAATCTCATTTATCCAATTGCGGTAGCAATTCAAACTTCTATTTGCAATTTGCATAATCCACAACACAACATGCCTTCTTCTGCACCCACCTTCCTCTCCAAATGCACTGTCTTCCCAGACCAAAACTCCACTCTCGGAAACCTCAAACTCTCCGTTTCGGACCTGCCCATGTTGTCCTGCCACTACATCCAAAAGGGATGCCTCTTCACCCAACCCAATATTCCAATCCACTCTTTAATTCCTCTTCTTAAATCCGCACTCTCTCGCACACTTTCTTTCTTTCCCCCTCTCGCTGGCCGTTTAACCACCGATTCCGACGGTTATGTCTACATCGCTTGCAACGACGCCGGCGTCGATTTCGTCCACGCCAATGCCACCGCCCTCCGCATCTGCGACCTATTGTCCCCACTCGACGTCCCTGAATACTTCAAGGAGTTCTTCGCCTTCGATAGGAAAGTCAGCTACAATGGCCATTACTCCCCGATTCTTGCTGTTCAGGTTACCGAGCTCGCTGACGGACTCTTCATCGGCTGCGCCGTCAATCACGCCGTCACCGACGGCACCTCCTTCTGGAACTTCTTCAACACCTTCGCGCAGCTCTGCAGAGGAGCCAATAAAAGCATCCGCAATATACCGGACTTCGACCGCGAGTCCGTTCTGATCTCTGACGCCGTCCTCCGCCTACCGGAGGGCGGTCCCCAGGTCACTTTCGATTCTCACGCGCCGCTGCGCGAGAGAATCTTCAGCTTCAGACGCGAAGCAATTCAGCAGCTGAAGGCCAAGGCGAACAACCGTCGATGGCCGGAAAACAACAGCACCGCGGTAGAGTTGATGCGGAAGCAAAACAACGATCAATTTCATCACCCGAAGGAGAATAACGGCAAGGCAGGCACAATTCTCGAGAACTGGTTCAAGGTTAACTCAAATTCGAAACCGCAAACAGTTACAGAAACGGTGGAGATTTCGTCGTTTCAATCAGTGTGCGCGTTACTGTGGCGCGCTGTGACGCGCGCGAGGAAATTTCCTGCTTCGAAAACGACGACGTTTAGAATGGCGGTCAACTGTCGTCACCGGGTTGAACCAAAATTGGAACCTTACTACTTCGGGAACGCGATTCAGAGCGTGCCAACATATGCTTGTGCTGGTGATGTGTTATCGAGGGATCTACGGTGGTGCGCGGAGCAGCTGAACACAAACGTGAAGGCGCACGATGACGCTATGGTGCGAAGGTTCGTAGACGATTGGGAGCGGAACCCCAGGTGCTTCCCTCTCGGGAACCCTGACGGTGCATCCATCACTATGGGTAGTTCTCCCAGGTTTCCAATGTACGATAACAATTTCGGGTGGGGGAGGCCTCTGGCCGTGAGGAGTGGAAGAGCCAACAAATTCGACGGTAAGATCTCGGCGTTTCCCGGCAGAGATGGAGCAGGGACCGTTGATCTGGAGGTTGTTTTAGCGCCCGAAACCATGGAAGCGCTGGAGTCTGATCCCGAATTCACCAAATATGCAACGTGTCAGTTATGACACGTGTCAACTCGCGGTGCTTCCGGCGTAACTACTTGCTCGCATGGTCACGTCATGCTCGTGTTGGGAGGAAGAGATGGTTATAGCGGTGATGACTTAATTCGGGAGTGGGGGCTGTATCATTGTGACATAAAATGTTTTTTTTTTTTTTTTCGTTTTTATCTGTTTTTAATTTGAGTATGATGTTGTCCATGTTTTTCAGCTTATCAAATGGTTTCCTTTTCTCTTCGAGCATTGGATTTGTATCGTAATAGAGTTTTCAGAGACAGTTGTAATAAATTATTTATTCAATATATAAAATTATAAAACTGTAGTGTCTAATTATTAATATAGTTCTTTTTACTATATTAAGGATTGACGAATTTCTGGCAAGATTGATCAATATTTTGATATTTTTTATAAGATTTTGTCTCAATCTCTTCAGATGGAAGGTTATGTTATGTTTACTTATAATCAAAATATTCTTGTAGAGTTTTAGATTTAATATCTCAATTTTTGGGTTTCGTCTCAAAATTAATGTATTGTGAAGTGTGGAGTCTAAGGTATCAAACTTTTTTTTATTATTATTTTCAGCTGTCAAACTTCTTTTATAATTAAGATCAGTTAATGTTAATTAAAATTAATCTTAAGAAATCATGAACTTTCGATTATCATCTAAACATGATTTCTATAAAAAAAAATTAGCATAGTTGACGTTGTCCGTGAAAATAATAATAATAAAGTGTTTCCTATTAAAAAAATTAAAATTAAAATTAAAATATCGAAAATGTCATCAATGAGTTAATATGATATTGTTAGACTGTATAAGTGAGATTTCTACTTTTAAAAACTTGTCTAATAGATAAATCAATATATCTTTTTTCTCTCTTTCATTCTATGATTATATTTAATTAATTCATTTCTTATATATTTCTTATTTTTTCATCTTTTCCTAAAATATCTTATATACCAATATTTTATCACATGTAATAAAAATAAAATATCTATTTTTACTGGTCAATCAACTATTTTGTATAATATTTCCCCTCTTCTGAATTATTTACCTTTATAAATTTTTAAACAAAATAACTATTTTTTATCCCCTACCTCTCAAAATGATCGCAATTTTAGTAAAATATTTCAAAATAAAATATGTCCCGCCTTTTAAGATGATAAAAGGTTTTTCTTCTACCTATATCTTTAAATTTATTTATTTAGTTCTTATTTAAATTTATATATATATTAAGAAATTTTATTTTAAAAAAATATTTCAAAAAAAGTGTATATTTATTATTATTCATAATAAAATATAATAAAAATATAACAATAAAAATAATATTTTTTAAAATTTAATTCCAAAATTTAATGAAGATTTTTTTATCTTATTTTTAATATGAACTTTTTTAATAAGTTAAGTAGAAATCATAAATAATAATCTCGCGACAGTCAAAAATCTATTATTTTAAATTTAAAACAGTAAAAATTAAGATATTTAATAGACATAATAACATGATATCAAGTTTATCCAAAAATTATAGATCTAAATTAAAACAACCACTAAAAATAAATTTAGAGTTAGGTCATAACTAATTTTTACACTGCAATAAAAGTTAAACAAAATTTCAAGTATTTTTTGCTATAATAGTTAATAAAATTATTATTGAGTGAAAACTTATTAATATCTCTCATAAGTAATTAAAATATGATAATAAAATAATAAACTTAATATACCTTTTTTTTAAATAAGCATAAAAATTTATATTAAAATAAAAGTTTAAAATAAATAATCTTTTTATGTTAAATATCTGTATTATTGTAAAAGATTGTAAGTTTTATTTGATTAAATTATTTATTTTTCATTCTTTGCTTAAATAAGTGTATTTTCGACTTTTGGAGATTTTTTCTTTTTAGGATCTCTCCTCCAATTGCTATTAAAGATGGATAAATAGTTAATAAGAGATCCTATGAATTTTTATACGTGTCATAAAAAAATCAAATCATTTATTGGGATTTGAGACATAATCATGTAACAATAAATCATTTATTGAGACTCAAAACATTATTCACATCATAATCAATAAAGAGACTCATGAGGTCTTCAACGTGTCATAAAGAAATATTTTATTGAAATATGATACACATACCATAAAATAATTTTTATTAAGATATAAGACACAATTGTGCCACAAGAAATATTTGATTGAGATAAGAGGCATAACCTACATCATAGTCAACAAGAGACCCCATGTGGTCCGTAGCGTGCCATGAAAAGATTATTTTTGAGATCCGAGATACGATCATGCCAAAAATTATCCAAGGCATAATCATGCTATAAGATATCCTTTACTGAAATTTGATGCATGACTCACATCATATAGCCAACAAGAGACCTCACATGGTTCTCATTATGTCATAAAAAGATATTTTAATGATATCTAAGTCACGATCATGTCATAATAGATCATTGATTCAGATATATGAGACATGACCCACAACAATAAAAAATTTCATGAGATCTCTCATATGTTACAAGAGATCTTTGATTGAGATCTGAGACATAACCCACGACAACAAGAGACCTCACAAAATTTTTGAGATGTCACAGGAGATATATGATTGAAATCTGAGCCATTGTTGATACTGACAACATTTGCGACCATACAAGATCCATCAACTCAAGAACATATGAGATTTATAACATGATTGATAATGACTCAATGTGTGACTTTCATCATCATCTTAACACCCTATGAGGTGTACAACATGATTGTCAATAAACTGACACGTGAATTTTGTCATTAACATCAAACTTATTATGATGAAAATTATTGATATTATGATTATTTGTGACATGAATTTAAGTCTAAATGTCATTATCATCAAATTCTTCCAGATTTAAAAATTGAGATTTAAGTCTTAATTTTAAGATTGAGAAGTTGTGTAGTGTTCAAATATTAGCCTCAATCTTTTTCTTTTTCTGATCTTATGGTTTACCTTCTTATAATAATTATTGATATTATCACATTTATAGTGTAAACTACTAATTAAATGACATATGTCATGGTAGTTCCCATCTAAATACAGTGTGTCATTTAAGTTTAGTATTTTAGGAAATATGTGACTTTCAAATATTATTGAACAAAGTAAACAGTACTTAAAACGGTACTTAAGTCTTTAATGTTCCATCTCAAGACTGAAGGGTCTTATAATATTCAATCATTAATCTAATTTTTTTTTCAATTTTAACGATGAACTTTTTAAGAAAAATGGTCAATATTATAACCATTTTTTATAAGAATTTAAGATTTAATATTTTCATATTCTGGCCGAAGGATTATATAATATTCAAATATGATTGAAATATTATCAAGTTTTATATCTAATATTTAAATCTTTTCAACTTCATCTTAAATATTGTGGATATCAATATTAAGATATTTTTTTTATAATTGAGATTAGATAATTAAAGTTAATTTTTTAAACTTCGATAAAAATCAAGAACCTAAAGGAATAAAGTAAGCTAATTAAAATTAAAACTAACTTATAAATCATTAAATTTAGGTCAAACAAATTTTTAATACTTAAGTTCTACTGAAGATTTCTGCAAGACAAAATAAAAATTATGTTCACCATTTTAATGTTAAAATACATTACAATTAGGTGTCTATAATGATTCTTTATTAGGTATATACATCCTTGAATATAATTTTATATTTTATTTAATTATAACCAATAAGTAAATTTATAAAGATAATTTTTCCAATTCAATTATATTTTATTGTAATTTTGATATAATATTCAATATTATTGTAAGATTTTTATTAAATTTTAAAGACAAAAACTTTATACGAAAAGAAATAAATAAAAGATTTCATTGGACAAGGGAAGAAAAGCTTTTAAGTTAAAAATATTTGTTAAAATAGCGGATTATTTAAAAAGAATTTCTATTTTTTTGTCTAACTTGAGTTTAGTGGATGTCTGTGACTGTGAGTTACGTAAAGGAATGAACTAAACATGGTTGTCCGGGTATTTTACATAGGATGTTATTGATTTGGGTTATATATTTTGATAAAAAAAATTAAAAATATTTATTTAATAACTTTTTTTAAAATTTATATTATTTATTTTTTCACTAATTAATTAAAAAATATATATTTTAGAGTGGTTTATAAGATGTTAAATTGAGTATGAAAATTGATTTACTCTCACACATATGTATAAAGGAAACCTGGAATTGGATGAAGTACTGCCGTACTGCTGGGCACTATAAGTTGAATAAAGCGGGGGTTACAGTCCGTTTAAAAGAGACTTGAGTGGTGTATGAGTGCAGCTTTTATTGTGTTTCTATCCACCTTCCCATTTCCCATGCTCTCAATGTCAATATCACAGTCATATACACGATTTAAATCAACCAAATTCAGATGTACAAAGTTTCCGGACACAGAACAAGTTGCTCCACTTTCCCTCATTTATCATACTTGTAGCCACTGCACTGCTGTCACGTTTGATTATGGATTCTGCTTCACTCTCGTTTCCCAACTTTACCAGCAAAAGGCCAAACAGACCCCCCAACATAAAACACAGTAAGGGACATAGCTCCCGACACTCTAAGAACACATGGAGAGAGAGTGTCACAAAAAGTAAAAGGAAAATTCAAAATAAATTATCAAATTCAAATTAAAATCTTGATTATCATTTCAGACAGGTTGATGAGTACACCCACTACACTTTTTCTCTTTATCTCATTCCAAAAATAATTATAATAAATACTGAATCAATTTGAAAACTATTTTATAAATTAATTAATTAAAAATGTTATCCTTTTAAACGACACATGCAGCTAAATAAACACTGACATCAAACTTGGAAATAAATATCAAATCATAAGAAGGATAATATGGAGTTGGGATAACAACAAGGTTGTTAGTTGGGATAAAAAATTAAATTCAGCTTAAAATAAGCTCAAGCTAATCTTGTGACAATTTTTTTCATTTTGTCAAATCATGAAACAAGAGGGACATTCTGTCCATGGCCATGTCTTTGGACAACAGCATGATGATGACAGTTATATAACTCCCCAGTATGTGTTATTTGTTTGATTCTGGAGAAAATATGTGGAAACACAAATGTCTGAAATGATATGATCGTGTTTTATTTCTTGTTTCCACATAGTTATATTTCTACCTTTTAATTTAAATTATGCAAAATTACAATTTTAAAAGATTAGCTTGTAAGTGTCACGATAAAAAGAAGGAATTAAATAAATTATCATAGTTTTAATATTTAGTGTCCTAAAGGTATCCATTAAAAAATTATATTTTTTAAAATAGTATTATTTGGATTCACATTAACGTGATATCAATGTAACTTTTGATAAATAAAATTTTTAATTATTTAAATTAATATCTTTGACATTTCGGTTAGTAAACTATTTATATAAATTATAGGACATGAAGAAAGTGATGTCACAAGTTTTTTTTTCCACCGACTAATCTAGTCCAGAGATTGTGATTATTGTTGATCCAATTTTTCTATATGTATAATAAGTATTGAATATAAATTTTTCTATTATATAAATAATTTTCACTATATATATATAAAAACAAATTTTATATAAAGAATAAATAATGAGAGTAAAATGTTATGTTTTTCATTTGACTATGTTATGCTTATACACTTAATGTGTTCCATTACTATCAACGTTATTATTAATGTTCTGTCACCGTCCATAGTCCAAATTCTCATCGTATAACTATAGCTGCTATTATTAATGTGTTTGAATAATTTTTTTAATATACACCTACAGGAAAGAGAAAAAGAAAATAAATCATACTAATTTCTCTATACATCAAGATTAATTTATAAACAAAGTTATACAAATAATTTAGAAAATATATAAATATTCTGAAAATAACTTAAAACAAATTGTAACCTTTATGCATAAATAATTCTAACTTAAAATAAAAAAATTACTTTCTTATAAGGTTTATAAATAACTAATCCAAACACAAATCATATGATCACACGTGTTATTACTGTTACTTCTTATAGAATCTAAGTATATTCTTGATCAATAATAATATTAATATATTATCACTTTAATAATCATTTTAAGTAAGACATTAAACTAATAATTCATCACCTTAACAACCTCACATATTAAAAAGAATTTGCTTAAACAAAATTAATAAGCGTGTTAAAAAAACACATTGATAAAATATCCTTGTAACATATAAGGTTTATTATCATTATAATTTCTATTAAAGATTACAAAAAAAAGTAATTCTGATGATTCAATTAAATAAAACATTTAACTAAATGTTTTTTATTATTAGAAGAATTTGATTTTAATTTTTTTATTCAGATATAAAATTAATTTTTGTAAAAGTGTTTCACATCACGTTCTACATGACAAATTACAGGAAGAAATTTACGTAAAAGTGTTTAATGGGTTGAATAATCCAATGACCCAATTTAATCCAAAATAGAGTGAGTTAGATTTTTTTCTTATAGGGTCAAGATATAATTAATCTCTTACGGATTTAATAATAGATTTTGTATGTTTAACTCAATAACGTACTAAATCTAGCCAAATTATCAAATAATAATATAATTATTATTTATTTTATTTCAATTATATAAATATATAAATTAAAAATAAATGATTTATATATTAATTAGTATAATATATTAATAAAAACTACAAATTTTAATAAAAACTATTTTAAAAATCATTGACCAACCCAACCCAGTTCAAACCGATCAAGGTTGTTTGGTTAATTTAGACTTAATAGAAAAATGAAAAAAAAAAATACAATATAAGATTTTTTAATTAGGTTAGGTGAGATAAGGTGAAATCCTATGTATCTCAATTCATAAAATTTGTTGATTTAACAACTCATTTCATGTCTTAAATTTACATAGACACTTTACACATATAACCATTTTACTTATTTATTTTGATGATATTATAATTACAAAGAGATGATGTATTCATTATTTTACTCGAAGTGACACAACCCAAGACTCGATTTTTATGTACCTTAGAAATTTTGCAAGATATATATATACAAGACTTGTACCCAATAAATCAATCTTATAACTCCATTGAATTATAATCACACTTTGAGTATTGATAATGGTAAAGTTTTATGAGATCCTACTCTATATAGACAATTAGTTGAAAGACTATTGTACGTTGTAATCTCCCACCTTATTATAACATATATGGTGAACCTACTATTACAATCAACTCTTAATTGCAATTTATGTATTCTCTTAATTTGTGTAGATATTCATCCCAATGCTAATTTACGAACTTCAAGTCTCCTAAATGGTATGAACTTGATATACGAGGTATAGTGTAATTTTGTAGAGATGTGTTGATAGAGAAGAAGAGGAGAGGAAGTTCAGTGAATCTATAATTTTCTCTGATAAATATTCTAAGTGTCCTTTGACAACTAAAACGAAGAGAAGAGAATGCTGACATGAAATTCAAATGTAGAACGAACTCACCTGACTTCCCAAAACTCTACACCCCCACATGTCTAATACCCTAGACATGGCTAGTGCATGCGCATGCCGACATATACAATATTGTGAGAGAAGGCGTTGAGATTTTGGAGGTATATAATAGAATAGGGTAATTGCTTGTACAATGAATCGCGTGGGTTCATGCATGCAATGAAAATGATGAATGGTATTCTACGGTATTGCATCACTTTCAATGACATTCATTCGCAGTACGATCATGCCAATGCAGTTTTCAATTCAGAAACCGCAAATTTAAACCCCAAACGTATCTGCAAGCAAGGGTCAATATCATTTCACACACCATTTTCCTTTGATTCTGATTGTCATACCTCAATAACTAGTCAATTTCACGTGCAATATTAATATAAAAATTATAGCTCCAAACACCGCCAACCCTAGCCTTCACCAACTTTTCTTTGTACAAAAAGGAGTTGTTCAACCACCTTTAAAGCACAAATACTTAACAAAATAAGGAGTTTGTCTTCTTCCATGCTCCAACTATGCCACACAATTTTAAGTCAAAGTCCACCATGTTACCTACGGACATTTTATCATGAAAAGTAAACCTCGCAATGGATCTAACCAATTTTATTTTGGATTGTAATAAATTAGATATAAAAAATATTAATTCATTTTTATTCATTAAAAACGTTATAAGTATATCATTCATTATTCTTTTATGGCTGGATATCAATCAATTTACAAAAATAATATTTTTTAATTATATATTTTAATTTTCCAAGATATATTGTGTAAAACAAATTTAAAAATGCTATTGGATTTTAAAAATATAAGACAATTAATTGTATAGAAAATTATTAATTTTGATCCATTTCATATTATAGGAGGATCATTAGACTTTGAAAATTAATAAATGAATTATTATTTTTTTTATAAAATAAAATGGACAGATTTGATTTGATATTATTTTTATTTTATTTATGTTTGATGAATTTATTTGTAGATAATAAAATGAATGACAATAAATATATTTCATTTTTAAAGAAAAAGTAGAGAGAATATTTTAACACAAGACGGGGTAATGGATGAGGTGTAATCATAAATATTATCTTTTTACTTTCGGAAAGGAAGAAAACAAAATTATCTTTACCAAACTTTGCTTTTAACGTGGTAACGATAAAATAACTGAGTATTTTTAATAAGGGTGGACCATAATTTTGTGTAATACAAAGCTATAGGGGATAAAAATAAACAAATAGAGCAATTAATTTTGTAGAGTAGATAGAATAAATATTTATTAAGGTAGCAATACTTTAAGATCAATGAAATTTTAAAAGGATTAAAAACAATATAATTTGAATACTTTTGAAAGAAAAAAAACTCTAGTAAAAATATACATTATAAAATTCTTTTTTTAATATAAATAAAAGTCATCCAAAGTTCTCGATTTTTTTATTTTTATTTTTTATTAATGTCCTTATCGTTTGATATTCTTTCTAATAAAAATATTTTTAAATAATTATTAAATTTTATAAAACAAATATTTTTTTATCTTAAATATTATATATTTTGAAATAGATAGAGTAATAAACTATTTTATATCCGTCATTAAAATCACTTCCATATCTATCTCTCAAGGTTTTTTTGTCAAAACATCGTTCTCATCGTCCACTTTCATATTTTTTTCATTATCTTCATATTTTAAGTTTGACCTCAAACAAGCCATTATCCCACTAATGCACGTCCTTTTTGTACATTCTTTGTGTCATTTTTCCGTTTTTATTTAGCTCTATTGTTATCTGGTTCGTTTAATAATGTCATAGCTTTGGGCTTGGAAGAAATACAGTTATTGTTGTAATGGGCCTCTGTCCATGATAGCTAATGGGCCTATAAGAACACCTTCAACAGTAAAATATCTGGCCTCCACATGAATCATTATACTTCTCACTTTTAGCAATACATCTCAGTTATATATACTAGTAATGTGTCTATATTTTTTATAAACTATTTTTTTATAAAAAAAATTATTTTCTCTTTTTATTATTTAAATATATAAATTACGATCGAGAATATTGAAATTTTAAACCATTCTAAAATTTAATATTTAAAATATATTCATTTTAACAGTTTGGGAAGTGTCTTTAAATTAATAATTTAGAAGGTAAATATATCAATGCATAACAAATAAGGAACAATTTAAAACTATTGTTTTTTTCTTAAAAACTGGGATTACATTTTTAACACTAATTAGGAGGTAAGAAGTCTATAAGCCCTTACCAGTGAGAATTGGGCTTTCTGACTTTTGAACTACCAATGAAGTTTGGGCTTTACTTTCTTACCAGACAAAAGAAATACGAGTAAAGGTTTTTCTTTTATTTTATTTACAAAATAAATATATTGTATGGTAGATATTTCTCAACATGATAGGTACTTAATTTAAATTTTAAGAAAAATATTGGAACCCATATCATTGTTTTTTAAAAATAAAAATCCATAAATACAATCAATATTTTTCAAAGAACATGATTTCCCCAAAGCAAGTCCTCAAAACATATAAAAAAAGTTCAATTTTGTTAAGGAACCTAACATAACAATGAAACGTCTCAAAAAGGTTTATGATCAATCACTTTCTGATTTATATGCAGTTTGTCTATAATTTAATTTGTGACTATTTCAACTAACGTGTGTAAAATTTTTGTTAGTCATGAAAAAAAAATCCTCAAAATGAACTAAGATGAAATATGGAATAATCAATTAAAAATTTAATTTTAATTTTTATAATTAATTTAATTAAAGTAAGAGCAAAAGCAGAAAAAAAATAATGGAAGAAGAAAATGCCTGACATAAATTGACTAATTCTGAAAATACGTGTAAACTACCTTATAAAGACTTTCTTTCATCAGTAAATAATAAGGTAAGACTTTTAAACTTCTTTTCCACAGTTTCCTACAAAATTAATTAAAAAAACCAATAAATATATTATTTGGTCAACATAAACTAATGAACAGTGATTCTTTAACACCTTATCATATGCATACAACTCAAAGATAACCTTTTATTTTTATTTTTAACTATTATTATATATTATTTTTTCATTACTATACTAATATAAAGTGATTGGTTAATAAATGTTTGTTTTTAAAGGATCGTATACTAATCATTACTATAAACTAAATCAAAAGCTATTTTGAACTATTTTTATTTAAAAGTAATTAATAGCAAGTTGAGAGAAGAAGAAAGCATGGTCACTGTCAGTGGCGATGCAAACTAGGAGTTCAACTGAGGAATAACTTTGTTCCTTTGATACGAAGGTCACTAACTATTCACCAGTCTCAAGTTGTCAATTGACGATTTCACTTCAGTTGAGTTCCCAGTAGCCTCTGATCTCTTAAGATTCACTAGGTATTGTACTTTATTTTGTTTAATTTATGAAGACTATTAGACATTCACTCTGTTTTTCTTTTGTTACCAACTCAGGTTTTGGGTTTTGTTTATCAAAATGAAAAGTTGAGATCTTTATTTGAGGGTAGAAAGTATTCAGCTATTGGGACGCTGGGTTTCATCAAAATGAGGAGGCGTCAAGTCTTGAAGCATTCAATTTTTCTTATAAGCATGGTGGTGTGTGTCTGCTGTTTTTTAATTGTGAGCATGACTGTTCTCAAGCTTCCAGAGGCACCCAAAAAGGAAAGTGAAATGGGGTTTTACCCAATGACAAGATCAAGAAAAGTTTCCCTTAAAGATGCCAACTTGGGCAGGTTTGCAGAAATGATGATTGACATGTTGCCCCAAGATCTTGCTTTTACCGTGTTTCTTCCGTCTGAGAAAGCGTTCAAGCGAGATCTGCGTCTGTCGGTGAATGATGGTTTGAAATCGGACAGGTTCAATGATACCTACGCGATTTTGACTCGTATATTGGGATTTTCAACGGTCCCTCGTGCACTTTCTTCAGCTAACGTGAAATTGGGTGAGCTTGTGAACTATGATTCCTTATCTGGCTTTCCCCTGTACGTTTCAAAAGACATCGATGGAATGCTTGTTGTTAACAGGATTCGATCAGAAACAGTAGATGTTAGAAAAAAGGAGATTATTGTGCATGTCATGGATGGGATTATTATGGATGCTGAATTTGAGCAATCGGTTCTATCTGACAATGATACAGAGGAGGATTGAGTGTATTTGGGATTTGCAATTTGATTTTGGCTTCATGTTTTGTTGTACTCAACATTGGTACAGTCATTACACTTGCACTTACTAGAATTTTATTTTATTTTTCCTTTTTCTTTTATATTTAAAGTATACAATACAAGTATAAGGTTTTAATTTTCTCATAGCAGATATTTACTTATTGAATCTTTGGTTATGTTGTCGGTCCTGTACAATCAATCAACGTCAGTTCTTAAATTTAGTTCCGAATTAGAAATTCCATTGTCATATTACACCTAAATAAATGGCTGCTTAATAAAAATAATTGTGAGGGTGTCCCTGGAACTTCAAGAATCACAACCCTCGCAAACCTTAACTTCCAGTTGAAGTTGCTGTGTTACCAGCATCCATGACAAGAATCGATACTCTAGAAAGATCTTCTGCACAAAGATCTTCTGCCTTTTCTTAGTGCCATTCTTCATTCAGATTAAACTGACAATTTTTATATTCTTCATTCAGATTAAACTGTCAATTTTTATGTCTACTGATTCAGTTTCCAGCAAACACTAGTTCATCCCATCACATGAATCAGAAATGTTTTCGCAATGTATATATATACGTATCGTGAATTTGGATCAATATACGCAGAAGCTATACTCTGATGTAAAGGAAAACCAAAACACACTAGAAGTGTTCAAAAAAGTATTGCTCTTAAAATTAGTCTTAGAATTGCTTCTACATTCTAAATCTGTACAACAGGAGTCCATCTATATCAGGAGTATAGTTAATGCTTTAATAAATGAATTCATTTTTTTTTTCATTTGGTAATTGTTCCTGCCAATTTCACAGGTTGAATAGTTTAATTCATCATATCTTACAAATTGAATCATTTGAAAGAAAAAACCAGCAACATTTAGAAATATTTTTTTTGTACCTATTTTTCGTATTTTTGATAGTGAACGAGGACATAAAAAAATGATAGTACTAGGTTGCCACGTATTAAATTAGGCTATTGAAGTCATATATTAATACACTTATCAAAAGCAAAAAACCCACCACCACACGAGTTTGAATGATTTAGCTAGAGTATAACTAATAAAATGCATTGTTTCCTTGCCATGCTTGAATGTTCTATAACTCTGCATTAATTAATGAAGTATCAAGTGTTTACTGAGATTACTCAAGTTGACCAGTCAAGTAACAAAACTAGATTTTATGCAAGTGCAAGGAGCAAACTAATTTATCAACATATCATTACACTAAACTTTCTTGCATTGTGACTCCATATTATGTCTGATTTAGGTCGTGTTCAGTTCTGATATCAAACCTGATAAATCTATCCAACACATAAGGCATATAAATAATAAACTAAAAAACCAACATATCTCAGTGTAGTTATACGAAGTTATAAAGAAAAGATTATCCAATCCATACTGATTTATGATTTATTATCACTGAATAATTTGCCCTTGCACGTGACTGTCTAGCTTCCTTATTACATACATGTGAGTCTGAGTAAGACCACTGGTCTTCATAATTATCCAAGTCCCTATCCAAAGAGAATTAGGATTATTTTGATAGTAACGATGAATGACATCCCCATCTTGGTTAGCTACAATTACCTTCTTTTTGAAGTGTATATATCCTTTTTTTCTTGTGTTGTAAATGTGATTCATGATATTCAAAGATGGAATTAGACCCGAGGTATGACTACGACCCATTTGTAACTCGTAGAACAGTAAAGTACTAAAGTCATCCATCATAATATTCTACTATCCAAGTATAATCCAACAAAGTATAATCAGTGAGATAAAACCAAAATGAAGGAGCACGGAGGAGAATGTCAAGGCATTAATTAGAATATTTTAATGGACCTAAAACTGATACTAGGAAAATATTAATCTGATAAGGTACATTTTCTCTTAACGGTTCATGATACACCCCTAAATGTTTTGTTTATGCTAAACCTATTTTACCAAGTAACAACAATGAATTTATTAAAAATCTTTTTCCCTTACACCACCAGAAAGATTGAAACCCTTTTACAGAAAGCTCAAGCGCAGGTCCAATGGTGGGTTCTCTATTTGTTCATCCACCGCGTATGAAAACATTGTACTACTGTCCCTACATTCATTTGCATGTAACCTCAGGTTCTCTGGTTCAGATTCACCAAAGGAGTTTACGGGAAAGAGTTGAAGAGTCTCAATCACCCTATCTGGCTCTGAAACTTGAATCTCAGCAAGACCTACAACAAAAACGAAAAGAGTCAAAAACACATTATATAGAACCTCAAGAACTAATTAACAACGTTCCACTCTCTTCTGTAAACAGTTTTCCATGAACACTTAAAAAATCAACTTATGCACGTAAGTGCAGTTTACGGCAAAAATTCAATTTATTTTAACTTTTTTCATTTTTTTTATAAATGATTACTATGAAAAAACTTATCCAAATAGATATAACACTTACTTTGTGTGGAAGTATTGAAGGAGTTTTGTCTACGAATGACATCCTTGTCATCAAAAGAGACCTTGCGGCGCTTCTGTCTTTCCCTGGCCTTATGGTTCTGAAACCAATAGAAGACATTCTTGCTCTCAATCTTACCATAAAAGCTGAGCTGAGTAGAGATCTTTTGAATCTGGTCAGTGCTTGGGGTGCGGAGCCCTGACCTGAAGAGTTCAGTTAGAAGTTTAACCTGTTCAGTGGTGGGATTCCAACGCCCACACTTGGTGCCAGTGGCAGAAGAAGTGGTGCTCCCACTTTTACCACGGACACTTCCTGATCTGATGCAAAAGCCTGACATGCCCTCGTCCATGTTTTGTTCCAGATATGACTCTCTCTCTCTCTCTCTTCCTCTGAACTCAAAACTTTATTACTTCTGAGATTATCTGAACCATAAAGATCCCAATCCGTGTGCATATTTATAATACCCCAACTCATTAATCTAATGTCAAAATCTTTGTCCTTTTATTTGTTCTTGTATTGCTTTGTGGGATCACAGATCTTACAATCAACGTTCTGTCGTCTGCTTTGAATTTAGAGAATGTGAGGGACCATTACACGGACATTTTTTATGGGACAAGACAAAGGTGATTCATAAGTACTTTTTGTGTTTCTTTTCATGAAAACACTGCATAATTGTTATATTTTTAGCAATGGACTGTTATATATCTATTAAATAGCATAACTGCTATATTTTTTGTGTTTCCACCGAAAAATAACATAAAAAAACCTAGAAAAATAAAGAATATTATAATACTATTGCATTTTTTCACTGCATATGGATTTGATCTGTTTCATTTACAGTGGTGTTTTTCATGCCAATAAAGAAATAGAAACTCATGCGCAAAAGCAGCTATTGTTCAACGCTTCGGTCTTGGGGTAGCGAACTCCAAGTTTCACTAATTGAAGTTTAACCATATTTAATATGATTCTTCTTCGTTTATTTATTTTTATTTCCTCGAGTTCTTCTTAGACACAACACAGTGTGTTTTTCAGTAAAGTGTGCACTTACTCCTAAAATTTATACTGTTATATGTTTGTGTAGTTTTCATTGTCTTATCTCCTATGCTTAGTGCTTCGACAGCATTAATTCTCAAATTAATCCAATTCCATCCAGACATGTGAGTTAAGCCAAATTTTGCTTTTAAAAAAGAAACGGTTGCCCACTAAAGTTGATGGAGAATAGTTAAAAGTTAACGTTGTAATATACTATTTATCTTATAACGAGTTTGGCATCTATCAACTCCAAAAACCAGCGTAATTAGTCTTTCACTTGTAACAGTTAATACTAGAAGAAAATTGCATATTTTGTACGGATTTTTACGAATTTTTATAACAGATTTATAATTGTCAGATAATGAGTTATTGCTAACAAGAATTACTGACAAATACAAAACATATCATATGTTGAATTTAGTCTTACTCATAATTAGTTACGACCAATATATCCGTCGATCAATTAATAATTAATTATCGATTGATATATGCATTGATAAATTCGTTGATAAATTAATAATAATTTACCGATAAATATATCTACCAAGTAAAATTATATAATAATTAATTAACATATTATAATAAAATAATTATTCACCTAATTAAAAAATTAAATATTTTTTATTTAATAATTTAATTTAATTATAATTAGATTAATTTATAATAATTTATTAAATTAAATAATTTAAAAAAAAATATTAATTATATATAAATATATTTATATGAATATATATTTATTTATATATAAATATAATTTATTTATAAATTATTATTAAAAAAATTTAATAATTCAGTGATTAGAAGATCAGTCTTTAAACTGAAACTAAGGTACTGCCTTAAAATTCTGTTAATAATAATTTTCTTAATTTAATAATTCAAAAATATATATTTTTGTACAACATTTACCAATAAAATATTTAAACCATCAGTAAATAGATTTTGACCGTCCTTTATTTATAACAATGATAATTTTATTATTAAAAATATCATTTTTTGTATTTTATATTTTTCAAAATTCGCCTCTAACTTCACGAAAATAAAATATAATATGCTAAAATCTATATAGTGATATGACCTTTTTCATATTTTAACATAAAAGACATTTTTTTCCAACACTTCCTTCGTTTTTATGTTCTATGGTTTCACCACTCCTTAATACTTGAATTATATCTTTTAATATTTTGGCAGTTTGCTTTATTTTTTTTCAAACACTTGTATTATCACATTAACGGTTTGTTATATAGAATTTACTTATATATTTTTATATTTTTTTATCACATAATTTAAATTTTTTCTTTTATTTTAGATTTTTATGTTTACTTTAAATTAAGTTATTCTTTTAATGATTACTTTAAAATTGATATTAAAAATAAGATTGAATTTAAAGTTAAACATGTTTAGTAATTTTGAAAATTTTAAGTTTAAAATTTATTCTCGAGTCACTCTTTAATTAAAATTGAATATAATGTGTTAGATAGTGAAAATTAAAATTTTAAAGAAATTGTTTTATTCAATCTTTTTTAAAATAAATCAAAGCAAACACTACCTATACTAAGTTGACTTGGGTTCATGGGAATCTTCTTTAAAGACGTGGGGCATAATTACAGAGACGACAACAAATGCACCAGATAGAGAGATTTGAAGAGACACCATGCCACCACCACCACATTGGAAGAAGCTACTTTATCTTCTATAAGTTACGTTATATGCTCCTTGCATTGTCTTTTCTTTTTCTTTATGTAAAATGTTCACAAATATCTTACATAGAAATTTTAATTCTAATAATAAAAACATTATAAAAGTACGTGGAAGAAATTCAATTTGAAAAATAAATTTATTAGATTCATGACCTCCATATCAGCCTTCCTTGGTTCGAAGCTAAGGGTATGTATGTGATTGATGATATAATGGTGAGGGAAAAATAAGAAGAAAGAATGAAAGTGTGGTTGAGTAACACGAGAATGGTAGTCAAGAAAGAACATATAGACCACATTCTTCCTTGCACTTTCTACAATTCCCGAGGATGTTGTACTATTCACGAGTGTCATTTGTCTCTTCAAGCATGGCACTAGGGCTCTAACTCCTACGTCTTTTGGACCCAAGCTGTTGTTGTTCACTCTACTTAGCCACCAAAACCACCTTTCAAGTAATTTCCGCAACTAATTAAGCCCCACACCAAACAACAAGGTCATGCCATGTCCCACAGTCAAATTCTTTTTCTTTTGTTTCAACATTTCCTTGTAGTTTGGTGCACTATCATCACGTTCTGCAACACATTTATGTCTATCTTCTAAATATAAAATTATGATAAACCATCAAACTCATATATCATGACCTAAATAATTAGGTTGGAAACACCAATCACGTGGGTCTCTTGCTATTATTCTTAGGTCTAGACACTCCATAAATATATAAAAAAGAAAATTGTAATCTCTAACAATGTAATAATTAAGACTTTGTAAAGGTGAAGCTAACTAAGATCATAATAGGTAAAGGTGATTTGCTTTTAGGTAAGCTTCATGCATGTGTCTATATGGCTGTCCACGTATAGAAGGAGTAGTGTTTGATGAAAGGATGAAAGGCAATAAAAAAGGAAAAAGGGTTTGGAATAGAAGGAGGAAAGGATGCAATGCTGCAACAGGCGTGAAAGAAAGAAAGAAAGTTAGGACGCCGCCACACCCTTCTCCGTATGATCCGTGTCTTTTACTTTCTTGTCGCTGCTTTTACGAAAACAATTACCTACCATGCGCAACCCCATTAACACTATTTCTTAATGCAAAAGTTCCCACTTAATTCTTCCCATTTAACTGCATTTCAACACTGTTTCTTCTTTAAATAGAATAAAAAATCTGTGTTTCATCCATGCTCATACAATACAATCCTTAGAATGTGGATGTGCTTTTCCAGACACGACAATAACATACAGTGAGTGAATGAGCTGGTTGAACCATTTATCGTTATAAACACCATTTTCTATCAATATCGTCAGTGCCAGAAATTGCTTCCACCACTTATATATCCTCTGATTGTTGACATGCCCGGTTAGTGTTTCTCAACACAATTAGATTAATGGTATATATTATTAAAATGTGTGTGAACATGCAGAAAACAAGTGTTTATATTTGTTGTTAATTTAATAACAGAGGAACTGCTACTTTTTATTTTACAGATTTATATATTCATGTTAAATGAACTGAGTCCATTGAATTAATATTGTAAATGTTGGTGGCTAACAAATAGATCTTTAATTTAACTAATAAAAGCTACCTTTCACTTACTTCCATTATGTCATGCTTTGTGTGATTGAAACGTGAAAAAACAAAATATATTCTTTGAATATATACGTAAAATAGAAAAAAAAAGTCTTCTAATAATTTCTTTCATATCATATTTTCATGTGTTTTATATAAATATGTATCCTGACAAATATTTATTTTATTTTATTACTATAAAAACTAAAGTATATATAGTGAAGAGCAGATGCATGGATGAACAATGTATTACGTGAAAATAACATACTAAAATCAAGGATTTTTTATTTTTTATTTTCCTTCTGCGTGATAAGTAAGAAAAGATAATGCAGACACTCTCCAGGGATCAAGTAATATTTGGATAATTAATTTGCACTGACCAATGAAACATATGAAATATGGAAAATGCTAATTTCGTAGACATTTACAAGTGAGTACTCAGTTGATAGTCCTACAAATCCCTGAAGTTGAATGAATATTATTTTTGGCATTATGAAAGTTATGTATTTTATTCAAAACTCTTTATTTGAAGGGAAGCTTTAATTTTATCGTTAATTATTATTATGTTTATTTTATTTTTGTTAAAACTTCAGTTTCTTTTTATTTCAAGTTATTTTCCCCTTTCAGTGTCAACGTGGTGACCATTTTCTTTTCAATATGAAAAGAAGCTTATAACATTTCGTTCTCTGCATGAGTAAGTAAAATGATGTTATAAGAAGATTTATGTTATTTCATCTAAAAAGTTTTTATTTCTTCCTTTCACATGCTCGTTTCATAGCCCTCTCAGACTTTTTTCTTGTTCAATATTTATTATTATTTTTTCTGATATTATTCTTTCTTCCAATTTTACCGTTTATGTTTAGATACAGTTAGTATTTTTTTTTGTACTATATATTTAATTTATTTTATACAACGGAGTGATTTATTGACAACTTACTACTAGAATCTGTTTGATGCGGCACTTGGACCTTATGGCTGTGGGGATAGGCCTTATTGCACCAAATAAGCTTGTGCTATAGTATCTGCTGGCCCGATTCGCTAACAATATTAACACCGTATAATACAA